CTTTCCCTAAGTCACTGTAGTTTTCCTCTTGTTTCCATAATTCACTTTAGCCCCTGATGCTTTTGGGACCACCTGGATGGTTTCTGCACCCCTAAGCCTGCGTGGGAACCCCGTGACACTTCAGTGTCAGCCAGGATTTCTCTTCCCCTCCGTGCAATCTGGTTCCCCTTCTGCAACCACCAAGTGCCGAATTTAGCGTCTGATCGATGCTGGGAATTTACAGCTGACTCAGGAACTCGGGGACTGTGATTTCTCTGTGGGAAGAAAGGTCACGGAGCGGGAAGATGTCAGAGCAGGAGGCCAGCTTCATCTGAAAACACCCCAGTGCCACCTTGGTCCAAGCAGGGATGTCACAACACCCTCCAAAGGACCTGAAGCCAATCTCTGGACACCCCCTCCATCAGCAAAACGCCATCGGTCACCTCCCTTGCATGTGCTTTGCTCCGTGCATCTGGGCTAGCAGCACTCTTTTGCTCCTATGGCAGCAATGGTCTGTGCAAGGTCATGAGCATTGCTGATGGTTGCATCTTGTAGACCAAGGAAAATCTGCAAACGAGTGGCCTTAGGGAAGGGGAAGGATGCTGCGAATTCACTGCCGCTCATTGAGAAAGTTGTTCTTTATCCCCTCTGCCCCTCCCAGGCTTCAGCTTTTCCCCAAAACCAGGTATATTGAGTCTCTGTAATGCAACATTTGCCACGTTCCACCCCAAAGCAGCTGCCTTTCAGCCCTACGAGGCGTCAAAAAAGGGGCCTTTAAAAGCAAAGTGCTGGAGTAGAGGAGGTGTGCAGGGCTGCAGAATGATGATGTTGCTGCTGCTGGGGCTGGTCTGGGTGAAAAAAGGCTGCAGGTGCTGAGCATGATGGTGCTTGCTGTGGAGGACAGCTGCAAGGTTTCCAGGGGCTGAGGCTGCTGCAAGGTAAGGGTTTTTCTCTTTTTTTCTCTCTGATTCTTGTTTTTGCTATAAAAATCTCTTGTAAGGAGGAAGTTGTGGGTTTGTTGGTTGTTTATCTCTGGTTCTTTCCATCATGGAGCTGCTTGGCTGCTGTCTTTTGGGACTGTGGTAGGGCTGGTGGTGCCAGCTCTATGCTTGTGCTTCTCAGAGAGGTTTGGGTGCCCGGTTGTGGGTCCCTGCTAGGAGTGATACTGCTTAGAGCAAAGGTGTGAAACCTGCATGGCATGTCCGTGGTGTGCTCGGGGGTGAGTAGAAGAATGGCTTCTGTGTGTGTTGGTGGTGTGTGTGGTGCTCTTGTCTGTGCATCCTTTACACGTTCATGTCTCTCAAAGACAAGGGCTGGGAGCTTTGCGTTTGTGATGGTGAAAACTGAAGCAGGGAGAGATGGTGTGTCCTGGTGGGATGTGGGAAATCGGCAACAGCGCTGGGCGCTGACCTGGAGTGTTCAGTCTGGTAGCTTGGATGGGGAGAAGATGACCTGGAGCAGACTACCATGAAATGGTCATCTGGGTGCAACAGTATCTCCTGCTAATTCATCTCCCTCCCTTCAGCTGGTTCTGGAGCTCGAGGTGGGTTCTAGTGAGGGACCTCAGAAAGCAGGATCTGCATCTCCCCTCTGTCTGGGACTTTGTGCTCGCCCAAGAGCAGGTGCTGAGCTCCAAGCCCTGGCAGCTCCTCAAGGTCGGGTTGTGCTTGGGTGCACAGGCTGGGTGCTGGGTGGCCGGGGACAGTCTGCTGCAGCCCCTGGGACCTGGCAAAACAAGCCTGGGACCTGGGACCTGCTCTGGTGCTGCAATGGGCTGAGCCTGGCTGTGCTGGTGTGACCCCAGCATGTGGATGCATAGGGCTGGAGCCCTGAGTGCCACCCTCTGCCCCAAAGGGGCTATGGCCTGTGTCTGATTTAATTCTCATGCTTCTGGCTACGAAGCAACCGTTAACTGAAGAGCTGTCTATGAGAGCCCATAAATGTGCATTAGCTGGTTTTGCTGTGTTTATGTGATAATTTAATTATTTTTCCTAAATAGCTCTGTGTGTGGGAGGCTTTCGGAAGGGAACAGGGTGATGCAGTGAAGGCTGGTGGTAGCTGCTGCCTTTCCTGGGCTGGGAGCGTTGTTAGGATGAGTTTGGGGCTGAGACCCTGCTCTGGGCTTGGGAACGTCCTCGACACGTGGCCGCTGCACTCACTGGTCACAGACCTCATGGAAAGATGCATTATCTGTCCGAAACCTGACGCCACTTGGACATGGGACAGAAAGGAATGCTCAGCCCAACCTTCCCCCCTTATATCTGGGGGGGAAAAAAGTGTATTGGAGAGGAGCTGTGGGCTGAGCAGTCAGATCTCCCTAAAACACGAAGGGTTATCCAGTTTCTGTGCAGATTTGTCAACTGCTTCAAACAGGAAATTACTTCGTGTCTTGAAAAACCTCCAAGCACCTGTAATGCCAGGAAGCACGGAGAAGCTGGCGCCTGCGCTGGTCTCGGCTCGGGGAGCTGTGGCTGAGCCCTCGGGCAGGTCTGTCTCTCGGTCTGCAGGGGGACGGTGTCCCATGGAGGGGAGGGGGGTCCCTCAGGTGTGGGGTAACGGGTCCCCGTGCTCACTTTCGGTGAGCACCACGTCCTCGCTCTGCCCTCCATGGTTTCTTTCAAAAAGTGCAGTCCTGGTAAGGAATAAAGCACCCACCACCCTGTCCCCGCTTCACATCTCCTTGGGGACTCTCTTGACTTGCTGTAGGTCCTACCAAAACACAAAAGGATTGGGTAAGATGAAAGATGACTCTGCATCAGCGGTGTCTCTGTGGTGCTGGGCCATCAGCAGGGGGAAGGGGCTCCAGCTCCGCTCCCCATCTCTGCGGTGAGTAACGGGGCTCCAGGCCCTCAAGGGTGAACTGGGGAGGAACGAGGCACCCGCTTTCGGAAGGCAGCAAACCAACCCCTGGCCGAATAAAGGGCATCCTGGTTTTGCTGAGAGCTGTTGGCTGCCTCAGTTGGAGTGATGCATTGCTCCAGCTCAACAGGACCTTCCTCCCCCTCTGACAGCTGTGCAATAGATCATGGACATATGCAAAAAAATAAACTGCATCAAAGCCACTTGGCAACTTAACTAACCCAATTCATAAATTCAGTTCTGCTCCTCTTGTAAGGGAGAAATCAGTCACTCCTCGAAGCTATTTGTCTCTATCGCTCATCCTTTCATAAAAGGGCCACATCCTTTCATAAATCTTCCCTGTAAGTCTGAACTGGTGATGGCTGGGTCGAGATGCAATAACACTGGGTGCCTGTGCCGGGCTCAAGGCCAGCCCTGGGGCTGCTTTGCCCTGGCCTGGGGCAGGTTTGCTTCACTCTGCATCACCCGCATCCCACCAGGCTGTAGCAGAGCTGGTGTTTCGCAGCGTGGTGCCGCTCTGCGGGTGCACCTCGGGGATTTCGGGGAGTGCGTGGTCCCTGGTGGCTGCCCATCGGGGCAGCGCAGAGGTATGATGGTGAACCATCTCCTTGCAGCACCCTTGCTGGGTGCATGATGTTTGCAGAGCTGGGGGAGTCCGAGCCCGGGAGCTTTCCAAAGCCCCGCGGCTTCGCAAAATGATGCCTTACACCCCTGGCTCCAGGTGAGCATCAGTGCCTGGAGCCCCAGGTTAGCTTTTCCAACCAGGCAGACAGAATTCAGCTCTTCCCTGCTGTATCCCTCGCCCCGCTCCCCCCTCAGAAAAAAAAAATCACCACCTTTTCAGGCTGCCATCTGTTTATTTTGTTGGACTCAAACTTGCTGAAATGTCTTTCGATGGATGAAGCAACGCAGAGTAGAAGAACAGAGCCTGGCAGGCTGCATGGTGAGTGGAAAATAGTTTTTTGGGACTATTCTGGAGTTTGAAGCCTCGATGATGGATGTGCATACGAGGGATGGTAATGACTTTGTAAGTATCAAAACACAGAGCAAAAGAATAACTGTGCCTAATAGACTGAGAAATGT